ATTGAATAATTTCCACGGTACACCTGACGATCACTCACGGCACACTAGTGTGCCGCGGAACAGTGGTTGAAAAACACTGTCCTAGACCACTATGAAGCCAGCAGTCTTCCCTTTAATTGTGTTTTTTGATCTTTGTTTATTACTCTAGAGAATTTAGATTATTCCCTTAACTTTGACATTTCCTAAAAATGGCTAACATTTCCAGTTCCGATGTGGTGAATAATGGAAAGACTGAACACTGAAAATGATCAACCAGAGCAGAGTTTTAGTCCGAACCTTATTGGCCAATGTTTTGCAGTGGTCGAGGTCAGGCGGCCGTAGAGTCTCTGGCCTTGGAGGGGCTGAAGCCCCTGTTTCACCAGCTGAACATCAACGACCTGAACAGCATTAAAACAGCTGCTGCTTTCTTCAAGGAGAAGTACGGAGGAGTGGACATCCTAATTAATAACGCCGCGATAGCGTTCAAAGGTAAGAGAGCAGCTTCTGTTTGAGAGAATCAGTCACATAATTAATCATACTTTCCACAAATCCCTGCTTTGAAGAGCAGAAGGAAGAAATTCTTGTAGGGGAAACAGCAAACCTTTGGAGGAAAGTGTTTAGTATAGATGAGATCAAAATCCTTCTGTTGCGATGCCAAATGCTGCGCACTTCACACCGGTCTGAACACAACCATCCTTACCTTGAAATATGGTGGTGGCAACATCAAGTTATGGGGATGTTTTTCTTCTCCAAAGCAAAACAAAAAGACAGCAGCAAAAAACAAAACAATTAAAAGCATAGTATCATTTCCTTCCATGTCACATTAATGCTAAAGATTCACTGATCCCATATATCAATATCTGCATTGGTCCTGATATTGAAAAAAAATCTAGATCGGGTATCAGTGATAATGTGCCCGATTCATAAAGGCAGATCTATTCAGTCTAATTCTATGCTTTGTGCTCTGAGCAACATCACCCTTTATTATTACTTATTTATTTTACATTATATTTAGAATTCCTAATTGCACTTTCTGAATCATTTGAAAGGTTTGTTACAGTTTGTTTTTTACATGTTTGACCAAGGTAGCCAACCTATTGTTTTAGTCAGTTTCATTTTTTCATTATTCATTTACATTGGCTGTTCTACTCCTCATCACACTGACTGAACAAATTAAAGTAGTGTTGTTTTTACATGTTGGGACAAACGTCTGAAGCTGTTGGTGTATGTAAATGTGCTGTACTGGTGCATAGCTATCAAATAAATTTTAATTCAGTACATTATAGCTTCCTAACGATATCCAACCACTTTGACTCCTTCCAGTCTGGTTTCCAATCTCACCACAGCACAGAGACTGGCCTAGTNAAATATTGCTGTTAGTTTATAAATCACTAAACTAACAGCTAAACTAACAAAAGGTTGATACTGCTGTTGCTCTATCAACCTTCCAGACCCCTCAGGTCTTCTGGTTCTGGTTCTGCTCTGCATCCCCAGAACCAGAACCAAATGAGGAGAAGCAGCATTCAGCTTCTATGCACCACAAATTTGGAACAAACTTCCAGAAAACTGTAAAACAGCTGAAACACTGAGTGCCTTTAAATCTCGACTTAAAACCCACCTGTTTAGAGTTGTTTATGGAACATAAACAACAACTGGGATTTGAATCCCAACCTGGATTCAAGCGCTTGGTGAGGTTCCCATAAGGGCAGAACTTCAACTCGGCAGGAAATTTAATGTTTTTGATTGTTGATTCAATGTTGCATGACTCTGTGTTTTTGTGTTTAATGATGTAAAGCACTTTGAAATGCCTTGCTGCTGAAATGTGCTATACAAATAAAAGTTGATTGCTTGATTGATTATTGTCTGTGTTTAAAAAAAAGAAACGGTTTAAGTCAATTCAGCTGTTTTTCTGAATTGGACCGGTATTGGCCGGTACTAAACCTCAGATATTATATCGAAGGGAAAATTGAGGATCAGTACAACCTTAAATGCACTCCTTTATGTTGATTTGTCACATAAAATTACAATAAAATGCAATAAAATGCATCATAATTTGTATGAAAATGGCAAAATTGTTTTTGAAAAATCCAAGGCCATGAATATTATTTTAATCCACTGTGTAATAAGGGACTGACATTTAGATCTTACAAACTGTCTTTAGCTGCAGACACGACTCCAGTGGCTGTCCAGGCAGAAGTGACCCTACGGACTAACTTCTTTGCTTCCAGAGATGTCTTGACTCATTTCCTGCCGCTCATCAAACCAGGAGGTACAAACACACCGCTTCATCTGAAGAAGTGAGATACCAGCTCCTCCCTCACAGGAACTCATTAAAGGTTCAGCTCATGTTCAAGTGAGCCAAATTATCTTTAGCTCTTTTTGTCGGAAAAGTCACTAAATATAGCGGCTGATTTTCAGACATTTGTGGACGACATGTAAATATCGGCCAACCGTCTAAAGTTAAGGAAATCGGAACTGATTTATCGGTGCACCCCTACTCACTACCTCTCTACTAAGCATTTTAACTGTAGTTAATGGAGAGAACGAATCTATTTTGATCTGTTGTAGTATTTCGGAAATGACCCTAGTAAAAAAAAGTATACTTTAGTGTATTAAATTTTAACATACTTTAGCATACTTTGGTTGATGTACTTAAACTATACTATTTTGGAACAACTTTTTTGTGCTTAGTATATTTTAATAGTATTTAAAGTATTAAATTACATTTTTTAGTATACTTAGTATACGTTAATATACTTTTTTGGAACAACTTCAAGTTGTACTTAGTATACTTTAAGTATACTTTTTTTATGTACTATTTATATATTTTGAGTGAACTAATTCTGTCATAGAATTGTCTTAAAAATATACTTTTAATATACTTTAAATATATTTTAAATATACTGCTAATATATTAGTAATGTATTTAAATTACACTTAATTTTTAGTTTTGATTTACTGCTACTACTAATAAAGTACAAT